GAGTTGAAGTCCACCCAGCTTAACACTGCTGAGGTTGAGAAACACCGATCTAGAGGATTGGTTTGAATTACTTATGTAAATTTTACAGTTAAGATTTTTTTTTGGAAATATATTGATTCTACCACCACCTTCATCCTTATTATTATGTAATCTGTGCTCTTTATTGATTGCATTTTACTTTGCCTCTAATAACATTATTCTGTTCTAAACCAGGATCATGGCTTATTGTTCTGGGTCGACGTGGACTGGCAAGCTTCTAGATTGCTACTTGACTTCCCAGCTGGGAAAACAAAGGAACAAACCAAAGTTGGTTTGAGTGATTTTCACCACCTGGGATTCGTGCCCCAGCGAGCCAGGATCACAAGCCGGCCACAAACCAGGGTCATTTCTTTCAATCCTACATGCAGAAGGTTATCACTGTTTAAATTTCCTGCAGATACTTTATATCTAAAGGAAATAAATATGTATGGATGTAAGTAAATGTAATTTTATATGTAAATGCTTCCCGATGGGGGACAATTGCATTTGTAGTTTAATAATATAGGTTTTGACTGTATATTTATTTATTGTTTTAACGTGCTGTGAGCCATCCAGAGTCCCCCATTGGGGGGAGATGGGCGGGGGACAAATTGAATAAATAAATAAATAAATAAATAATAATAGCAATAATCATCATGATAATTTATTGCCTTGTCCAAAGGGCTCCACCTTGTGGGCAGATGGTTTGCTCACAGTGTGCCACCCTAAGCCAGGAATCATGGCTTACAGTGATGTGCAAATGGGACAGCTAATATAGGTTTAAGGAATTCCGCCCTCAACTTCCAGGAAGAAAACACCCTTCCCCGAATCCTCCAGTTTTCTACCCTCCCCATTCTAACCCCAGCAGTTCTGCCAGCTCCTTCCAGTTTCCTAAACTTTGCTGGGCCTTACCTCCTCCAAAGTAGATTTCCACCGAACAATAAGCCACCCCAACATTATTGCCCACGCTGCACTGGTAGGTCCCCACGTGGTCATCACACAAGTTGCGGATCTGAAGATCCCCTGGAACGGATCCTGAGGGACAGAGACACAAGCGTTACAGGGCTGCGGGAGCCGAGAGAGTGGATCTAGGCATTAAAACATGGCTCCTGAGCATGTACAGATTTCCATCGAGACACACATGCCCGGGAAAGTTGAGAATGCAGAATCTCTGAGTGGATGGAAGGCAAGGAATTATAGAATCATGGTATTGAAAGGGACCTCAGAGGGGATCCACTAGATCAGTGTTTCTCGACCTCTGCAACTTTAAGACGTGTGGACTTCAACTCCCAGCATTCCCCAGCCAGCCATGGGGGAA